TCCTCTTGCTGAGCAAAACCAAGGCGAAATATTACGTGAATCTTTCAAAATTTTTTCTGTTCATTTCTTAATGTGAAGATGACCTTATTATCTGTGGTGATTTCCTTCCTTTCTTTGCAGATGGTGTAATCTAGAAGGGGTATGCAGGGAAGTGGTGAAGAACTAACTGCTGTTGTTTAGTGAATTAATTTCCATGGGAAGTTACTCAGCTGAAAATGAAAGAGCTTGTTTGCTTCACAGATAAAAAAAAAAATATCCATTTACCACGAATATTCTCAGTGTCTAAGAATGCCTTCTTGTGAAACTAGATCAGTCGCCACTTGTCAAACCAGTATGAAGGCCAGCCAGTTAAAACACTAGATGTATACTACATGCTTTGGATGAAAAGCTAACTTTTTCAAAAACAGAGATAAAACTTGAGAAAACAACATGAAAATACTGTCAGATCAAGTAGCTTCCCAAAGGTACCGATATTTTGTCAAGTCCTGTTTTACAGCTCATTCATTTGAACATCAAACAAATTTAATTATTGAGATTCATCAACAGCTATTTTTAAAAGGAAAAATCTCCTCACCAATAACAATAGAACATTAAAAAATTGGAATTTTAAAAACTCTGTATTATAAGAACTCACCTTCATTCCTCTTTAGTGCAGTATCAAAGTTGTTTGCAAATTACTTTTAACCACTACTATCTGCCATTTATTAAAATTTCCATAACTCATAGTTATTTTCACCATCACTTAGCATCAGATGGACATTGCATGCATTAAAAAAAGCCCAACCTTTCAGGCATGCACACATCCCCGTTTATCCAACACATACGTATTCTCACAAATATCTTGCCTTGGTAATTTTTTAACGAAGCTTAACTGGGGCCAGCCATGAAAAAGCACAAAATCTCTAGATTAGCTATTAACTCCACATTGCCACATACAACCATTATTTCACCTACTTATTACTTCACCCACCGCCCCTGCTGCCTGTCACTGTGCCGCTCGCCTCTTGCCTCACACACCTCTTGAGCAATGCCAGCGTTTGGTTTTAGTCCACAGAAACCAGCCAGATATGCACATTTTCTAGTGATTAGGAATACGCTGTTTATGCTCAGTTAAGGATTCGTGTGCACAGTGTAGGTTTTTAGTTAATCTCTAACATTTGAGCAGGTCGTGTTTGAGAAGCAATAGGGGATATAATTCATTACTTCAGAGACAGAGAAAGGGTAATAGTTATTATTTTGGGAAGTCAATTCTGTAAATGTTGTACTGGTAGTGAGGTGAAATCATAAGGAGGTATTTTATTTTTTCTAAATTTGTTATAAAATTATATATACAGTTAGAGCTGAAGGTTAAATGAAAGGGATCAGAACAAAACTGTAAAACCTAGAAGCGAGGAGAAAGGCAGGGTCAGAGGGGTTGAATGACAGTTGAAAGACTAACTTGTGATTTCTTTCAGTATTTCTATACAGTTTTAGCTGTCTCTGTGGGAAGAGTTGCTGCTACAGTAAATTAGTTGGAAGAATCAGTAGCAGCTGAGTATACAATGTTCATACTGAGCAAAATTATCTAATGCTACCTAGGATATCTCTCTGGCAGATAGCCAAGAATCAAAGTAGAGGGTGTAAACAGGAACCTGATAAAATTATAGCCCAGTTCCAAACCTGCTGAAATCTGTGCAGGATATACCATTACTTTGAAGAGTGACAGGCTCTCAAAAATTCTTGGTGAATCTCTTGAAACAAACACTGTTTCAAAAGTCAAAAAAATATCTAGGCTAAATGAATTTTACATCCATCAACCCCAAGATATAGTAATTTTTAGCCAGATTTGTCATTGCTTTAATAATAAATGAATTGTATTCAAATTACTCTGAGATATAAGCCTGAGGATAGGCAAAAAAAAAAAAATCCCTAGCTAGATATATTAAAAAGTATCTTGAGTCCTAGATCATGCGGACACTGAAAAGTTAACTAGGTTGATTGGCAGCTGGGTCTGGGCACTCAAATTAGCTTGTCTATGAGCAAGTTTTCTATGACAGAAGGGTAACCGCAGTCTCAGCATTCTGGCTGTTTCTGAACTGGCTCACGAGTGCCTGTGCTGAGGCAATCTAGGTTTCATTCTCATTCAACTCTATCCACTGGTAGGGAGTTGTGGGAAGCAGCACTGTCACACTGGAGTGTATCTGAGTATCTTCTCGGTGTGGAGTAGATCCATTTGAACCCACAGAAAGCAAAAGCTTCAGCTCTTTGAGCTGTAATTGCATCAGTTAGCTGAATGAAAATGTGCCTCCAGAGCTCTGTGTGCAAGGATTTTCTAATGTGAGTGATGATGCTGATGACCTTAAAGGTAAAAGCTGTGTAGTATTTTCTGCACTGTGGACATAACTCTGGAGACCCTGGGAAAATAATCCCGTTGTGTGCCTACGTGGAAGACTGGGAGAGAATGTCAACTCCAGAAGTGAAAGCTCCAGTCTTTTTCAGGGTCAGTTCCTTCAGTTCTTTCAGGGTCAGTTTCCTTCAGAAAAGACAGATGAATAAATAAAAATCCTATACAGACTGTTTTGGCCTGTGATCTCAAGTCCTGTGTTCACCCACGCTGATCCTCCAGTGTGTGGCGAGGAAACTGCTCTTTTTAAGGAAGAGGACAAGGGCATCAGTAGACGATGGTGTGGGAATTAGTATGCCATTTCTACAGATAGTACATTAAAGTTTGGGTTCTTGGGAGTGCAAGGCAAGGACAGGACTTCTCTTTTGGCTTTCAAGGAAATCTGTGGCAGCCGAACAGAGCTGCCTTACAGACAGCCTTACAGAGCTGCAGAGCGAGGCAAGAGTGGGTCCCTCTCCGGCGAGGTGAACCAGCCAGCCCACTGGCTGAGGGAGGTTGGGAATAGCACGGGATTATGAGGGATCAGACAGATTTTCATGTTCTTTCCTGAATAAACAGTTTCGGTTTGGGGCAGGCCAGAAGCTGAGGGGCAGGCGAGCCCAGGCAAGGGGTTCACTGCGGCCTCCCGCGGGGAGTTTCCCGCCGCAGCCCAGGGGCTGGGGCGGGAGCAGCGCCCGTCCCTGCGCTCCCCCACCTGCCGGGATCAGGGGTGAGAGGAGGCTCAGGGTTGACCTCACCACCCTCCACAACTGCCTGAAAGGAGGACGCAGCCAGGTGGGGATCGGCCTCTTCTCCCAGGCAACCAGCGACATAGTGTTAAGCTGCGGCAGGGGAGGTTTAAGGTTGGGACGTCAGGAAGAATTTCTTCACAGAGGCGAGTTTAGGCATTGGAATGGGCTGCCCCGGGAGGTGGTGGAGTCACCGTCCCTGGAGGTGTTTAAAGGAAAGACTGAACTCGGAACTCGGTGCCGTGGTCTAGCTGACAGGGCGGTGTTAGGACATAGGTTGCACTTGATGATCTCAAAGGTCTTTTCCAAGCGAACTGATTCCGCGATTCTACTCTTCGGGCGGCGCCGTGCCAGCGGTGCCCGCGGGGCTCGGTGGGGCACCCAGGGCGGTCCCGAGACTCCTCCGATGGGCACCCGTGCGGGGCCGTCGCTTGAGCCCGCCGGCGGACGGGAACACGAAGGGCCGAGACACCTCCAGCCTTGCTCTTTGCTGCGGTATCACCGCCAGCCCCGCACCCCGTCCCGGGTCCGACGGCGACCCCGCCTCCCAGTCCCAGCTTCCAGCTTCCCATCCCCCGGGGCGCGCGCGGCGCAGCGACTCCCTCGAGCGACCCCCGCGTGCGCTCATTGGCTGGCGGTGATGTCATCGCGCGCACATACGGGTATTCGCCACCGCCCCCCGTGGGGCACGGGGGAGGTCGCGCGCCTCTCGCCCGCCCCGCGACCAATCGGCGTGCGGAGCGGCGCCGCGCGCGGGCCGGGCCGCGCTCTGCGGTTCCGCCGGCCCCGCCTGATTGGCAGGGGCGGCGGCCAATCAGGAGGAGGTCCCCGCGGGCCGGTTCCCGCCCACTTGGCGGAGCGGCGGCGGGGTCGAGAGAGGCTCCGGGAGTGGCGGCGGTGGGAGCCAATGGCCTGCAGGCAAACCGCGCCGCCGGGAGGGAGGGGATGTGGCGGCGGGAGGGAGGCGGGGAGGGGCGAGGACGCTCGCTGACAGACGCTTCCGTCAGCTCTACCCCGAGGCTGCGAGGCCGGTTATAAAAAAAAAAAAGTGCGCAGAAAGACCGAGCCCGTGCGCTAGCGTCTTGATTGACAAGAGACGCAGCCAATAGTTACCATAACAAAGCGGGGAGACCCAATCAGGGAAGGGCATTTGGGAGGAGCCGCCGAGTGAACGGCTGACGGCTCACCAATGACAGTGCGGAGGGGCGGTGCCGGCGGAGCGGGCGGCCAATGGGCGGCGGCGGGGGGCGGTGCGGGGCGGGCGCGGCGGTGCGGCCCGTGCGGAGCGCGGTGACGCGGGCGGGGGCACGGCGGCTCCAACATGTCCGCGCTGCTGGCGGCGCTCCGAGTGCGCGACCGGGCGGCGGCGGCGGCCGGCGGCGGCCAGCGCGGGGCGGCGAGCGCCTGAGCCCCTGCCAGCATCCCCCGCACCCGCGCCGGGCCCCGCAGCGCCGCCGGGGGACGCCGGGCCCGCAGGTACACAGGGAAGGGCCGGGGCGGAGCGGGGGAAGGGGCTAAGCGGGCGGACCGGGGCCGGGGCTGCGGCGCCGGCCGGCTCACCCCCGGGCAGCGAGCGGACACCGCCGGGTCCTGCCGGCGGGGGAGCGGAGAGGGCCGCGCTGACACGGGCCGGGCTCCGCGCGGCGGGGGAGCCGGCGGGCCGGGCCCCGCGGGGGTGGCGCCGGGCAGGGCGCCGGGCAGGGCGCCGGGGGTGCCCGGCGTGTGGCGGCGGCCGCGGGGGGAGCAGGGCCGAGGGCCTGGCCCGCGCACGTGCGTTGGCCCGGTCCGGTGTGACCACCCGGGGGTGCGGGCAGTGGGAGGGGGCGGGTGGCGGGCATGGCCCCGGGATCGAGGGGAGAAGCTTACCGTGAGACCTGGGTGCTTCTGACGGGATGAACTCATGAGCAGATGGGCAGTGGCTGGGAGCCTTTGGGGGAAAGGAGTTGAAGGCAGTTCTTTCTCGTAGTTTGGAGCTTGCTGGCTCTGCGACCCCGGTGGATATATTTTTACTATAATTTACAGTAATACCTTCTTCGAAAGGAGGAAGTCGTTTTGGTGGGTTGGAGGCAGCTGGAAAAATCGTTGCCCGTCTTGTTTTATGTGCTGCGGTAGGTTGAGAGATGTGTTTATACCGTGAGGGTACGTGTGGTGGGTGAAACCACATGTATTTGGGAGTAGTGGTACATGAAGGCCTGTAAATTTGGGAGCGATAGGTAAACAGGCTTGTTGTGAGAACTAAGGTGGTAAGTGGGCTGGCTCCTGAAAACTGTGGAGGAGGGAGTCTTTGGGTGGTAGGTAAGGCTGTGTACAGCTTACAGGCACAGTGGTAACAGGTTGCTACAAGGTTCTGGACTTGTTTTGTTTGGTGGCCGGTGTGGTTAGACTTAATGTGCGAGACCTTCGTGTGTAATATGAGCTGGAATGTGGACAGCAAGGCATGCGTGTGTTCCTACTGCTGTGCATTGGTTTGTCTGCTGCTCTCCCTGGGAGCTGAGGGAGATGCCCGGCTGTCACCAGCACAGAGATCTTTGTGTTCGGTGTGTGGAGATGGGGCAGTGCAGCAACCAGCGTGGTCTGTGTCCTGGGAACGTGAGAGGGGCTGTGAGTTGTTGTCTCACCTGTGATGAAATGGAAAGGCTGGGTATTTGTGGTTTGATCCATGGAATACAAATGGGAAGATGTGTAGCAAATGCCACGTGTTGAGGTCACGATAGTGTTGTTCAGAGAAAAGTTTGTGTATGGTCCTGGTGAGCTGTAGAACCGTAGGTGTATATATATTTGTAACAGGTGCCAGGCAGTCTAAATTTCTGTCTATGAGGACATCAGTGCACTCTTCTTATGGGTTCCAAGGATTATTGTGGATTATAAGAAAGTGAGGGGGCTTGAGTGGGTATTTGGGTACGCTTGAAAAAGGGGGGAAGGATGAATTTGTGTGCATTATGCATATGCAGGGTGAAGATTATGTTAGGCTATGTATACATGTGTGTATCAGGGGAATGGTATTTGTGCAAAAGGGAAACTGGAGTTTTCGTATTGCTGAGTTAGTTAGTCTGTGTATAGAGAGAGGAGGCAGGCGTTTTTGGCTGAGGCTATGAAAAGTTGAAATGGTGTGGGGGAGGGATGATGGACTGACTCCAGGGTCCCAGGTGGGTCCTGAGCGGGTTGGAGTCTATGGGATTCTTTGCTGTTCATAGTATGGAGAGAAGTATTTTACAGTTGTGATGTCTAGTGAAACTAAAAAAAGTGAATAAATATGAGGCAATTTATCACTGTTATAAATATTATTGAATTAAAGGAGGCTACAGAACAGTCAAGGGGTTTCTGGTAAAGTGTGCCCTTTTTTGTTTGTTTATTTTGTTCTGTTTGTTTCACTGGGTAAATTTTCCATTAACTATAAGGGTAAACTGTTGCTGAAACTAGCACTCATAACGGTGTTGACAGGTCAGCAGCTCACTAAAAGCACTTAATATGGTATAGACAAGCCCCCATGCATGTGTGGGCTCAGGGGCTCCAATGTGTCTATTATGTGTATTTATTACGTGCATTTTGTAGACCTTAACACTTAACTGAGTGCACGTCTGTAGAAGGTGTGGAGTCTTTGTACTGGACTTGTGTTTGAGAGAGGGTTAGTGCATAAACATTTGGGGGTTGAAGATTTGTGAAGAGACGATCCATTTAGAATGGAAAGCTGCTTGGCTCAGGTGGAAATGAGGAATAACTGCATGTGTGTATCCCACGTTCTACAAGTTTGTGTTAGTATGTATTATTTGCTTCCGTAGCTGCCCATCTCTTGTTCTACACAGATATTTAGAGGGGGCTGTTACATAGAATAGTGATTTAATTACAGCACCTAACATCAGATGAAGGAAATGTAATTAATGTAGCATGGAAAGGGCTGCATAGAGGGTGCAGAGAATCCATTTTTGTTTTATTGTGATAGCCATGAGGTGATCAGTTAGTGAGGCAGGGAACTAGAGAAAGAGAAGAGTACTCTCGTAATTATCCTGGACAATACAGTTCTCTTCTTGTCTCTGGTGTGCATTTGTCATTGCTCACTTACACTTTTCCAGTGACGATCAACTAATGTGTGCTTCTGGCTTACTAAACTTGAGACCCTGTCCCAAGAAATATAAACCTATCACAACTGAAATTACAGCTTGTGAAATCTGTGTGTTTGAGGTTCTCAGTGTCAAGAACTACTGCCCTAGGGGAGGCTGATGGAGAGTAGGGAGTATTTCTTACATGAATGTGTTGCCTCCATATTACAAAAGGGAAAGGCATTAAAAATCCACTCTTAGTAGTGACTTTAAAAATCTGGTTTTGAATTATTTGTGTTAGTCTTTGGAGCAGGGTTTATTTAGGCTGCAGCAAGGGATGGGGTAGGACAGTGTTCAGCCAGTACTGTCCATTTGGAACAGAGCAAACTGCAGCACACCTGGATGAATGCTGCCATAGTGTTTGGGGGGCAGGGATGGGGTTTTCTTGTCATTGTGGTTTCTGTTGTTTTGTTTGGTTTTTACTTGTCAGAAAAAAACTAGAAATGAAAATGATCATTTGTTAGTGTCTTGGATCATCAGTCCAGTAGGAATGCTTAAATCTGCCATGAAGGCCTCGTGCTGGAGCTTAGGAAGTGTTAAATGGCTATTCTTTTCCAGTCAGCACTGGGAAATAACTAGCTAACCGTTGGTTTTTGCCAGTCTCTTCCAAATGAATGGGAAAGCCTTGATGAAAGAATCCAATCTCTAGACTCCATGTGTGGATTGTGGAGAGTGATGATTGTACTAGGCTGTGTCTATCTTTGTGCCCGTAGTTGTTTTTTTTCTCTAGTGTTGGTTTGTTCTACCCACCACCTTAATTAAATCAAATATGCTCTATTTTGTCTGGCTTTTGTTTTTTTTTCAGTTCTTGCCACCTTGTCCAACAAGTTTTCTGATCTCTCTGAATTCATTGCTGCACTAGTGTTTCACTTCACCTTTCTGTGAAAATGAAGACACATCCTTTAGATCTTGTGCCTTTTAGAAATCCAAGTGATTTGATCTGAATATTGGTTTTATCAGTAAATTGGAGGAGAACAATGGTGATTTCTTTAGAAAACTGTTGAAGTAAAAGTTTTTCCTATCTTAGGTCCTTTACTGTTTAGTACTTTTTTCATTCTGTGCTTCCATTTATGCTTGATGGTCTTCAAGATCTGGCTTGTAGCTGTACAGGGGGTGAATGGTTATTTCTTCCTTCTCATGGGCTGTTAGCAGTGTGAATGCAGGATAAATCTTCTATGAAACTTCAAGAGGGGTCTGTTTTAGCCCTGTCTCCAACATATCTGGTAGGCATATAATATTCAGGGAATTTAATGTCAAAATCTGGACCAGGTATTGCAGCCTATTAATAAGAAAAAGAAAAAAAAAGCACCACCCAAATAGAATGGCATCTGACTATAGAAGCCCAGAAAAGAGAAACTGAAAGATGTGTCCCTGAAGTAAGAATAAGGATGCTGAGTTTCCAAAAAGATTATCAAAACTGTTTTTCTTTAACAGGCAACTTCACAACATCCCTAGCTATTCGGATGATGTCTTTGAGCTTTGGGCAGATATCTAGTATGGGAAACTTTGGTCAAACTGCTTAAAATTTGCCAATCCTGTGCAGATTCATATTTGTATTGTGTGCTATAAGTCAAATAAAATTCTGAAGAATCAATGAACGTCACTCAAAAAAAATACTGGTCTGAAAATCTTCACGTGAGATGGTAGGAAATTCACTGAGCTGGGGTAGCTCATCTCCAGTTTCCTGAGATGAGCAGTTCAGTGCATCTCAGTTTCTTGAGACATTATTGGCATCTTGAAACGCAAGAGTTGCCAGTGAACGTAGGTTAAATTAGTCTTCTGTCTCTTAGAACACCCTGTGTTGGGAGAGAAGGCACAAAGATATTTTAATGTAGAAAATGATAGAAGGGAAAACTCCATATCTCATCAGAAAACAGCCCTGCTTACCATTTTGAGGGAAATTACTCAGGCCCAGGTGTTACTGTTCTGCTAGGAAAAATATCATCCACGACTCTTTCTCATGCACTGTTAGGTCATCATTAACGTTACTATTATGCCACTGCTATCCCATGCCATAGGTTCTCTTCATCTTTGATGGGAAATAACTTTTTCATGGAGTTTTCTTTCAAATAAATAGTACAAGTAGGTGCTTCAGTCTATTTTCACAAGAGTTAGCAGGAAACAGGTCAGAAAAACATCATGTTTCATACTAGGCTACTGGAAAGCTTAAGATGGCTCTTCAGTGTGTATGGTAATGACAAGTCAATAACTACAAACTTCCAGTTAAATCACAAAGGAAACCCTCATTTGTTCTTGGCAGTTTTCATGGGATTAGTGTGTTAACAGAAAATGTTGTCTTCAATAATCCTACTTTTGTGTCTGCGCCCCAGTGTAGGAAGTTGGCCTCTACTGAATGTAGAGCAAACATGGCTCTGCATTGTTAGCATATGAATTAATTGTTTTTATCAAGGAGGTAATGAAGTAAGATGATGACTTGTCGGGCAGAGGAGATAACACCTTTTTATAATTTATTAATACAATACTGCTTTGGTCTGTTCTCACCAGCTTGTTGGTCGTGATAAAATCAGGTATTATGTGTTCAAAACTCATCATCTTGTATTTGAAATTTGGTATAGAAAAAGTAAAATTGGTAACTGGAGAAAACATCTCAATGAAACTATTGGTAAAGAACTGATGTTTTGATTCAAGTGAAACAATGAATATTATGTCGGTCAGCTTATTCAAAAAGAAAAAAAGCTCTTTTCTGGCAGCTTTGTTGGTTAAGCTGATGGGTAAGTAAAAAAGCACCTTTGAGCACATGCTGCTCTTCCTTTCCTATACCCACCTCCAGTGAAGCCATTGATGTGAGCTATTGGGTTGGGTTTTCAGTGTTATTTTAAAAGTTTTATAAAACAGTAAATGTAGGTGATGCATGAAGTGTGTAGATCTTGGGATTTGTTGGTTTTGGGGTTGTTGTGGTTTTGTTTTGTTTGTTGTTGTTGTTTCTTTGTGGTTTTGTTTTCGGGTGTTGTTGTTGTTGGTTTTGTTTTTGTTTTGTTTTGTTTTACTTT